CAGTGGCAGCCCGCTCTGCCCCGCATGCAGATGTGGGGGCACACACACCCTCAGCTCAGTTTCCCCTGTCCCCAGGGCCTCACTTACCTCACCGCTCCTTGCTCCTGCATCTGCCCCACTCCCTCCTTCACTGTGAGGGCCTCGATCTGGCCACTGACCCTTTCCTCCCCACCTGCTGGGCTGGGGGGTGGGGATCAGTCCTCCAGCCTCAGAGTGACACTCTGAGTCTCTGAGATCGACCAGTTGATCGCGATCAACTGTTTGGTGACCACTGGTATAACATATTATTGTATGTACCTATCTGAAAGAGAAAATAATTTCCTGCTGAATAGGCTAGCTGGGCACTTTTTGCGTCCTGCCTCCCCCCCACCAGTTTAATACCGGTGTGCATGGGAATTGAGTACAATACCCTTTTAATAATTTGCATTGTTTTCCAACATTTCTTAGATCTGTACTGACATAAATGACAATATTGCTACCTAAACTACGGATAAATCTATTGGTTATAGCTCAATCATAAAATGAATTGCTTACCTAGTAATTAATCACTTGCCTTCTCCAAGTTATTGTCAGAAAATACTCTGATTTTAAGGTATATGATATTGCTATATTTTATGCAACTTTACTTTTTTGCAGAAGGACAATTATTGTAATAATAAGTAAGTTTCATATTTACTTTTGTTATGCATTGCATAGTTAAATACTGTTCAGAAACTTGATATTTTTAAAAATTGATTTTTTTGAAGTACTTAGGAGACTTAAGACTGCTAGTTCATGGGACACAAGCCCCACACCTGGTTTTGAAAATCACTCTTTAAATATTAACTATCACAGTTGCTGAAGACCAGATAAAGGGGAGCAGGAACTGGGAAAAATGAACTTCTCTTAGGTAAGAGATCTTGCTGAAGGGTGCTTACGACCTCCCTGTCTCATATTTTATGGCAGGCTCCCTGTCTCTGAGCTTTATTTATGGTTGTATTTTTCTGAGCTTTTGCGTATCATCCCTAATGGACAAAAAAGGAAATGCAGAGCTCTCCTCATTCTGTCTGCTCTCTGACACTTCCTAAAACAGATTTCCTCTCTGGCTTTCAGCCTCAGGAGTATTGTGACCATTTTTTTCCTTTTGTTACACAATGTGCTTTTGAACATTGACCAAGAGGCAAGAAACATACAGGTAGACTTGGCTGGCTGATTGCTTTACTGCGTTACTTTCTGAGCTAGTAATATTAGTGTTTGCAGTTTTGCTTAGAAATGTTTCCTCCTTGTAATCTATTAAAGCACAGTGGGAATTTGTTATCCAAATATGTTGTGTATTGCTAATTTCATGCAATATTTACTTTGATTTAATATATGGCAAGGTGTTACAGAAAGGTAGGTGATAAAGTTCTAATTTCACACATTCTAAAAAAATGTGCTTGTAACTGCTTTTAAAGAATAGCAGTGATTCACAATATAGGCTGTTCTCTGGAGTGTAGAGCATTTGTCTCTTTTTTTGATTGGTAGCAAATTATTTTGTCAAGGCTTAGACAAATCATTGTGGGGAAAATACTTATTTTAGCATCTGTACCTTTCCAATCTCCCAAACAGAACACAATGTACTTATTTTTACAGTATTTGCTTGTTGATGTTCTTGTTGCATTTTGCAGAATACAGTTGAACAGTATTGTATCAGTCCCTATTCCTCTGTTCTGAAGGTATTTTGAGCTGCCTCCTTTTACTGTTAGTGGTTCGCTTTGGGCCATTCAGGTTGGTTTGGAACCAGCTTGCCTTATGAGATATGGGGATCTTCTGTCCCTTGTGACTTTGCATCCTGTTGGTAGTCCGATCAGCAGGAGAAGAGAATATGGTTGTCTTCAGAAGCCATTGATATCCCTCCCTGAGTGAGAACTTCATCGAATTAACTATATAATGTGGGAATATAAAGTCCATTTTATTTATTTATTTTTTGCTACTCTTCCTTGTTTATATTTGGATCATATATGGCAACTAGTATTAACTTGTTTGTTTGTTTGTTTGTTTTTTAAGTCTGGCATGTTCTAATTACTAAAGATTTGAATTGAAAATGTAAAAAACTTGACTGGCTTGTATACTGACTGTTTCACTAATCAATATTTAATATGGTTTTCATAGGATATGTAACATGACACTGATATTCTGGACAGGTAATTTTCACTGTTTGAAAACCTTACATAATAAGGGATTCCAGGTATGCGAGAAATGAGCACCTACCCATCCTGTACCATCATATTGCCAAGGATCTGTTTTGTGATGTTTACACTTCAGCAAATCAGTCATTTTAATGTTTAATCACAACATCCTTTTGATCAACAAATCATTTTTAGAAATTTGGAAAAGTTTTGGTGCTTGTATTTAAAGGGACACTGTCAACTTTAATTTGTATGAATTGACTAACAAAATTCAATAGTATCTCTTAAAAAAAAAAAAATAAAAAAAAAAAAATAAAAAAAAATCTGATCCCTAATTTTAAAAGCTTGTATTTTTTCTTTTCTGCTGAAGCTTAACATTTTTTTTGGATGGGTTTGAGAACAGCCATTGAGGAACTTAAGCTATGTCCTTCAGTTCCTCTTCTCCTTCCTCTTTGCACATGCCTGCCTGCCGCCTCTTCAGTTTAAGCTTTGCTACAGCTGTGTACTAGTATATACACTCTTGTAGGGCCTGGGGAAGAGTGTGCATGTGAGCTCTCTCCAGAATAGTGCATGAGTGATGTGGTTATACTGGTGCATGAAAAAGATTGCAGCTCATCATCAGTGAAACTAACACCAGGTAGAAAGCTGTCAAGTGGGTGAATTGAATTAAGTATTTTCATTTAAATATTCAGCTTTGAATTATTAAGTGTAACAACAATATGCAGCCTTTTCACATGGGGGAGAGGCTTTTTTTTCCCCTCTTCCCCTGCATTTGACTGTGTCCCTTTAAGTGAAATTTATTTTTTTTCTTGATCATTTTTATTGTGGAGCGTACTGTTACACAGATGCTAGAATAATACAAGAATTAGAATTAGTGGGGATTTGAAACATCCATTTTAAAGGAGTCTGGCGAGGCATGCCAAAATGAAATGATGTGCAACACAATGGCAGATGTATATAGTCAAGCTAAATATATAGTATAGACATGGTAATGCATACTGAAGGGCAGATATTCGGTATACTAGATTCTGAATTTTAACTTCAGGGCACCTGCTTGGACCTCCTTGTTCATAGGTATATTTTTATGGCAGGTATAGGAAATAGTATTAAGTTCTACATAGGGGATGCTGAGAATTAAATAATACCTTAAAAATTGATGTAGATGTTAGAAGCAGGAAGGTGGGTCAGAGGATAGAGAACAGAGGGATTTTCAAAGTCTGCTCTAATCCTAGATTTAAAACAGAGGCATATGATAATTGGCACTGGAAAGTAGTTTCCTAATTATGGACCTCATAACTAAGAACAATAGGGTACTCATTGTAATATCTAAAGCTGACAAAAATAACTTGTTGGATGATCATATTTGTTACTTGAATCCTAGCTTTATTTTATATCTAGCTAGTTTATTTTTGCCATAAATTATTAAAAAAAAGAAAGTTGGGTGAAATGAGAAACATTGGCTGGTTGGAGTTCTTGCCCTTTTTTGTGTATTAAATGTTTTTCTAAACCTAGTTATACCTCCATAAACTACAGGTAAAATTGTCATAGCACTGGGACCAAAGAGATATGGTCAGGCTGAATAGGAGCATTTTAGAGAATGCTGCAAGCTTCCTGGGTTTGAATATTAAGTTCAGCATAGATTTTTGTCTCATAGTTTAGTGGGACTGCTATAACTTAAATGATTCAACATGGAATTCAAGAAAGGAATGTGGGAGGGAAACATTCAAGCTTAAAGTAAAATTAGCTTCTTTCCTTCCTCCCCCCTTTCGACACTTTGGCTTCTTTATTTATAAAAGATCAAGGCAATTTGAAGGCCATAGTCTGTAAAGGCCACAGTACTTTTCAGTAAATCACTTTTGTCCTTGGCTGTATGAGATTTGATAACCTAGGATTTCAAAGAGCTGAAAATATCAAATGAGTTAACATGCAACCTTGTAAATAGCAATGGTGCTCATTCCTAGCTTAAGATCTAATTTGTTAGCACATGTTAGAATGGGGATGGCCATGGATTTAATTTAATTTTCCTCTGATTTAACTTTTTTAGGAAGCTCAGTTGCCTTATTAGCTTTGCCAACTCTGCTGTCCTATTTCTCTGCAGGCTGCTTCAGTTATTCTCTGGGCTGTGGTCACTGTTTCAGAAATTATTAACGCTGGAGAATGAATCTTTTCAGTTTATCTCATTGTGGTGTCTTCAACCAAAATTTAAATTAAGAACTTCAAAACATTTGAATTTTTCTTTAGTGAAACTGGGATGAAACTAAATGTCTATAAACTTATAATCAACTGAAATTAAAAAACCCCTATGGTATTCTAATTTCTGGATGTTGTTCAAAATCAAGATTTTGACAGCAATGAACACTTATGCACTAAATTAAACAAACTCAGGAATGTAGTGGTAAACTAGGGGAGCATGGTAACATTAGCTGGAGATACTGTCAGGTGACCTAAACAGCTTTATAAAACCTTATATGGGTATAATCTAAAATAATTATTGAACATGAAATTAGCTGTAAGCAAAAGTTAAACTGACAAATCTAGTTTCATTATACACGTTATTGTAAAAACCTAAATGTAAATTTATGATCTAAATTGTTACCAACATTTGGTAAAAGCTTGTATATTCATGAAATAGTATATATTAAGCACAAATATTGGCGCACGTATTTCTAACCTGACAGTGTCCCTCATTTACCATGTCCCCGTACTTTCATTTTCCAGCTGAGTTTTACCTTTGCATGTGGCTCAGTGAAAAAAAAGTACAAATTTATTAATTTCCTGGAAGCATTTTGGGGCTATCATGGGTTGTATTAAAAAAAGTTTAATAAGCATGAGGTATTGAAATTTTCCTTTTTTGCCAAGGGTTAGTAGCTAAGTGGAAAAGTGCAGTGTAGTGTGATTTTTCTGCTTGTATAATTGTATAGATGCATACACATGCCTAAACCTATACAGATTAATTATATTTAAATTACAGTAGTAACTACTAGAAATCCTTCCTTCCTGGAAGGGTTTAATAGAAGTTAAACAAAATTAGAATTCAGTAGACCTAAATGTTTCCATTCAAAGAACTGTTTTTAATTTGACCTATTAGGTAATGCACATTGTAATGCTTGCTACTTGTCCTTAGTTTATCATAGGAGCCTCTGTGAAGGTATCTTTTTGAAGTAATGCCCACAGAAAGTGGAAGTTGTGCAACTGCTCGCCAAGCAAAGCAGAAGCGCAAATCGCACAGTCTTTCTATACGAAGAACCAACAGTTCCGAGCAAGAACGGGCAGGATTGCAAAGAGACATGTTGGAAGGGCAGGTAAGCCAACATGAACTGAAGTTTAATCTTTATGTTTTAACACTTTACAAATAACCAGTGTAATGGACAGGTGGGGCTGGAGAGAAGAGTACAGTGTATATTTGGTGCATGTGAAAAGTAGTATACTGTTTTGTTGACTGCTTTTATAGTTTTGTTGAAGCTATTCAGTTTGTTCATTGATGCATCCCACCTTTTTTAACTCTTTTCCCCATAATATCTGTAGAAAGGGGGCTGAGGTGGGGGGTGGGGGGGAACGAGGATGCTCTGCCCCTCTGAAAAGAAGACATTGTCACTTGGTAGTCTTGGTAGTGGCCCATCAGGTAACATGCAAACTTTGGTTACTGTTCTTGATAGCTGCTTGGCTAGTAGTCCAGATCAGTACTGGAAAAATCCTTTGTCTGAAATAAATGCAAGTGTTTGTGACTGCATTAGGCAGTTGCATTGCTTAGATCTAGATCTTTAGTACTGAATATAATTAGGGGTGATTTTTTTTTTTTGGCTGATGCTGATAGCCAATTATTAACAACCAAAGCAGCTGATACTGATTTGATAGCCGATTTTACAGGAATGCAGTCTGGCAGGTTGGAGAGCAGTGTCCTGTCTAAGTCTGTGTGAGGGGGAAGGGGTACTGGGAGTGCACGTCAAGGCCCCCATGGTGAAGGAGGGAGTGGGGCTGAGGCTATGGTAGGTGCTGCTCAGTCAGGGTGGTGAATGGGACCCCAGGGGTAGGAGCAGGATGAAGCCTCCAGCAGCTTGTCCAGGGGTCATGGAGGGTTATGGGGGTGGGGGCACTCCCTGTGGCTGTGTATACTCCTGGGGGGGAGGCATAGGGGGGTGGGTGCCCCCCCCGGATTTGTGCATGGGGCAAGGATGGGCTGCAGACTCAGGACCAGGGGCTGTGCTAGCCTCTTCCCAGTGTGGGGGCTGGATGTGGGGCAGGTGGTGGCGGTGCTGGGAGTGGGCTACATGGAATTTTTTGATGCTTATAGCTCCCCTAGACACCCCCCCTGGTCCCTTCTCGGGTCACTCTGCTATGCTGCCTTTCCCTCGGGAGCTGTGCACTGGTGCCACTGCCACTGCCCAGACTGCCCAGTCCTGGCTCAGCTCCATCGCACGGAAGAGGCTGACAACCCCTGGCCCTGAGCCTGCAGTGGGGTGCCTACCCTCATCCCGCACACAAATCCAGAGGACATGTAGCCCTACCATGCCTCCCCCAGGGGAGTGCACAGTGGCCAATGGCTGATAATGTTAATTTTCCTTTTATCAGTGCTGATCTGATATGTGACTGATATGTTGGTGCACCTCTAAATATTATGTGAATCTGAGGGCTAAGGCTAAAGTTGACTTTTGTTCATTAGTGAAAATTTGGAATAATTGGTATGCAAGGAACTTGAGCAAAGTTAATGTCTGTTATTATATATGGGAAGTTAGTAATAGGAAAAGGGTATTGTAATTTTCCTTTCTAACAATAATGACCTTAAGGCTAGGTACATTACACTTAACATGCATTAAGCACTTAAACTGCTTTAAAAAAGTTGGATCCCACCCTGATTTAACCTTCGATGGATGTGGTATTAGACTAAAGTGCTTCAGACTAGAGCACTTTTTTCAATGTCTGTACTACTACATCCATCATGCTTCAGTATAGGTCACAGTCTGCCACCATCCCAGGGGCCCCCTCATTGGGTGCTGTGCTAGTCCTGGTGTGCTCATATGTTCTAGGCGAACACTGGCTCAGTCATGTCCTTTAGCTTGCACAGTGGAGACAAGAAAAAGGTTTATTTCCTCCCTGCGTAGCTGGCCGAGGTGGGGGTATGGGGACGGAGAAATGGAGTTTTTGTGCATCTTCTGCCCCACCCTTGCTGCCTGACCAAGCTTGTGGGATCAGGTCTTGGTGGGGGCCAGGCTAGAGCTGTGTGGCAGAGAGGCTCCGTTTCCACCCCACCTTGACCCCAGTTCTGGCACAGCAAAATGCTGGTCTGGGCAGCCCTGTCCTGCAGCTCTGGCTGTTGTTAGGAGGCTTGTGGGAGAGTAGGGAAGGGAGGCCCGTTGCTGTGAGGGGCCCCCCTCATAGCTTGTTGGCTTGTGGGGGCGGGTAGGAGCATGCTGGCTTTGCATGGCAGGGCGGCTCCCAGTTCCAATTCCCAGCCGGATAAAATACTAGCGCAAGAAGCCCCCTGCTGCAAATCTTGGCTGCAGCTGTCAAGAGGCTGGGGAAAGGAGCCCTCCTGCCAGGCAGACTTGGACTTGCTCCAGCCCCCACCCAACTCCAGTCCCAGCAAGCTGTGGGGGGGCCTTCATGATTGGGAGTGATTCTGTTCCCCTACTTCTGCTTCCCCTTCCCCAGCTGCTGCTGATAGTTGCCAGTTAGGAGGGTGGGACTGGGGAGAGAGGCTGTTGTGGCAGCTTCTGGGGAGGTGTGCAGGTGTGCTTCCTGCTTGCTGGCCTTGGTAAGTGCAGGCAGACACCAGCCCTGCCCCCGAATGGTGAATGTCTGTTCATTTCATTCCCACTCTAACTTAAAGTGCTGTAAGTAAGTTTGATACAGCACTTCCACCAAGGGCTTTTTGAATGTCTGTACTTGGCCTAAGTGACGTCTACTTAAACATGGTATAAGATAATCTGGTTTTAATTTGTTCTTTTTTAAATGCTTGAGGATAACTAGGATTTAAGTGCATTTCACTTGAGGCAGTGCAGTGAATGACAACATCCAGACCTTGGGTGTAATCATAAGTTACCTCCTTGGTGTTTTAGTAGCAGATGCAACCTGAAATTGTAATTTTTTTAATTGAATGCTTCCTGTAACACTATCCCAGTATAATTGTAGGTAGTACTTACAAGAAAATGGTTGGGTGGAAGTGATGCAATTAAACAGGAATTGATAATATTTAATTAAAAATAGACTACTGCTGCATACTACTTGATGTACGCTTGGTAAAGTAAATACAAAACTTCTAATTGAATTATTGAGGAGAAATGGTTTGAAATACTAAGAACAAGATTATATTGGGGAGGGGAGGGGAAGGGAAGGGAAGGAAACAACCCATCTGTAGTCTGAAGGAAAAATTTCTGATTTTCTAAGCCCTCTGTGAAACCACACTGAACAGAGAAATTTAATTGCTTCATTTTGCTCAAGTGGCAAGAATTCCTTAAAAACATTAGTTACTCATTTTGACTTCGGATAACTACTTACATGTTACCCAGATTACTAAAAAAAATAAGTATGTCACGGCGCGGGGCCCTAGGGGCGGCCGTGATCTCCCCTAGCGCCCCCTACCTTGCCAAGTTTGCATTAAAGCATCCTCATTCTTCCCCGCCACATCTTGATTTTTTTTTTAAATTGCTTGAAGATATGTAAGACAGA